GTGCAACTGCCCCTTCTACAGAACATGAGAGTCTGTAAGAGGCAGCTTCCCAGGAATGTTTACCTCCAACCCAAGTACCCCCATCCCCATTCGGATGCTTGGCACTTTGGGGGGGGGGGGGGATAAAGGTGTCACGCCTTGGGGGGAGGGCCAGACAGGCACAAGCAGCTCTTGGAGCCAGCGCCCTGCTCCTCACCATGGCCAGCAGCTCAGCAATGAGGCAGGGCCAAGGGCAGGGGGAGGGCGCAGGTGAAGGTAGGCAGTGCTGCAAACACATTTGCCGGGACAAGCTATAAGAAAAACCATTAAAAAAGTTAACGGAAACCTCAGGGAAATTGTTTCCTTTGATCTGTGTAGGCCCGGATGAAGCCAGGGAGGCTCCACTCAAACCTGATCTCAAAGCTGGTCTCACGTAAAGCAAGCTGTGCCAGATTCACACACACACTCCTGTCCGGGTTGTGCTCAGTCACGCTGGGGGCGACCCCCTCGCTGCCCGCAGCTCTGCCCATGGGAGGCGTCTCACTCTTTACCATCTGGAACTCGGGGATGTCCTAGCCCCAACAATAGAAGCTGAGGAGCTCCACATGTGCCCCCAAAGCAAGGTCATTCCCGGGCTCAGCGAGGCGCCCAGGGCGGGAGACAAGGCTCTCCAGTCTTGAGGACGGCTCTCCCAGACCCACCCTGAACTTCCCGGACAGCTAAGAACATCCCACATCTCTAAGGAGCTCCCGGGAACCTCGTGCAGGTGGAACTGCTCTTTGCATTCAATAGTCAATGTATGGACCAAGATAACTGGCCTGACTCTGTCCGGAAACATGCACTTTGATGGAGTAAAACCACCTGAATGTATGTGGGAAGTGGATCAATAACTGGTTTCTAAAGACATGGTAACACACCCTGGCTGGTTTGGCTCAGTGGGTAGAACACCAGCCTGCGGACTGAAGGGACCTGGGTTCAATTCCCAGTCAGGGCACAGGCCTGTGTTGCAGGGTGTCCCTAGTACGGGAGCCAAATGATTCTCTCATCATTGATGTTTCTTTCTCCTTCCCTCTCTGAAATCAATAAAAATATATTTAAAAAATAAAACATGTCAACAGCCCTTCAGTAGAGGTTGCATTGGACAAGTGTGGTGAGGGCTGTGGTGTCTGACGGTCCTCCTGACACCTAGGCTCTATTCTCCAACAGCTGCCACCTGGGGAGCCACAATGAAATGGCCAGTCTCTCAAGACGGAAACGAAACATCTGCTAGTCAAACTTGGTAAAATATGCATTTCCTTTCAGTCACATGTGCACAGCCTGTTCTTAGTGAGAAATCATGTGAAGCAAGCAGCTCGACAGGTGGTGTGGCCTGCATTCTGTTCTGTTCCTTTTTCTGTGATCCGGGCTCTGAAAAACCATCTTCAGGCCTTTAGCTCAGAACCCTGACATGACTTGGGTCCAGTATGTGAATAAAACTCTGGTGCAATCCCAATGATGCTAAGTGGGGGAATGACTTTGGAGGGAAGCTGGCTCTGCCTGCAAGGTTGAGTTATTTCCCTAGCTTCCCCCTCAGGGCCTAACAGGATAGTGCCAATATGTCATAATTTCTCAGAAGCAAACCTTAACATTACAAACTGTGTGAGGTGGGGGGCTGTTCACCCCAACATGTAGGAGACAATACATAGATGCATCACTGCCAAGTTCTGCCTTTAACCACCACAGGGCCCATGTGGGGGAAACTGTGACCCCCTTTTCTATTAGAAATGTGCACTCTCTCTCAATAGGGGAGATGAAGAGCAGGAAAAACAGGTTTAAAAAACAAAGTCCATCACAGGGCAGGTAAACCAGAAGTGAGCCCAGAGGGAAGGAGATTAAAAAGCGGGGGTAAGTGATCCACGTTGTTTCCACATGGTGTTCAGGTTTGGTGTCTCTGGAACCTTTCCGAATACTTTCAAGAATCTAAGGAATTACCCAACTGTGTGGAGCAGTCATTACCTTACTGAGGCCAGAACAGGTATTTCAGTCATTGGGACATCAGATCTCTCTCCATGTCAACAACTGCCTGTGCCTTCCATTGATGTAAGACTCTACATAGAGGCTTAATCACAAGGAACAACTGCCTGTAACCATTAGAATCTAGGACAATGGTCGGCAAACTCGGTCAACAGAGCCACAAACTGCGGCTCATAGGCCGCAGTTTGCCGACCACTGTTCTAGAGACACAATTTAGGGCCAGTTAACCCCCTTCTTACACTTGAAACACTCATATAAAAAAAATATTTATAGTAACCTCACATCTAGTTGTTTCCAGCCATCATTCCCTTGGCATCATTACTCAACCAAGCAAATTAAGCATTCTTCTAAAATGTTACACGATAGCCCTAGCCGGTATGACTCAGTGGATAAGGCATCAGCCTGCAGACTGAAGGGTCTCAGGTTCGATTCCAGTCAAGTGCACATGCCTGGGTTTTGGGCTCAATCCCTAGTAGGAGACATGTAGAGGCAGCCAATCAACGAATCTCTCTCATCATTGATGTTTCTAACTCTATCCCTCTCCCCTTTTCTCTCTGAAATCAATAAAAATGTATTTTTTTAAAAAAGTTACATGATAAAAATACAAGGGACAAATATTACATTCAGGGTGCCTTCAAGTTGAGCTGTCCTCACATGCAAAGTGGAATTCCTGGAGCTACGGGGGCAGAGCTGAGTGGGCACTGAGGGGCACTTGTTGGGATCCACGTCCCCGGCCTGGGGTCCACCTTCCTCCTCCGGTGCCCCAGCAACTCCCGAGGCCGGCCAGCCCAGGCGGCCAGTGGGGCCAGCACCGCAGCCCCTTCTGATGTGTTTTGTGGGAATGAAATGGGAATACCCCAGGAGCGTGTTTGTGCAGTACGAAGGGGTGTTTGTGCTCAGGAGGTGTTTAAACTTGTTGGAAAGTGAGCTGCAAGCCCAGCGCCAGGAAGGGGAAGGCGGGAAACCTTCTTCCTCTTCATGCTGAGCGCGTCCAGGCAGATGGCAAGGCGAGCGTTCGTGACGGACGGACACTCCCCATGTTTGCGTTTGAGAGGCTTCCCTTGAGAAAAAAGAAACTTGTTAATAGAGGACACAAAGCACAGAACAAGGTTAGAGCATTAAGACAAGTGTCAAATTACAACAGCACCAGCTGAGGTCTGTCTTCCTCTTAAAAACTGCCTTTTACATGATATTCTCCCACAAACAAGTGTTCTTGCTTCTTAAATAACTACTTGATTTAAAAGAAAAAATGATACACTAATCTGCACACAATCTCTGTAATCTTGTGAACACCTTACGCAAATACCAGTCAGAAAGCCCAATGAACTGTAATCATCATACATAAAGGAAAAACTTTTCTACAGTATAAGGTGGGGCACAAGTAGGGTTCCAGTTGCTCATATGGGAAATAGCACAATAATAAACTGTTTCGCCTACTTATAACTGTGACCCTGCTTTGGCCCCACCTGTATATACATAAACCTGTTACCCAAGTGCTACACACCATATAGGTAAACACCTCGAGATGGTTCATGATTTCGTCTACTCTGAACCCTCCTCACAGTTGCCTAACACACGCGTCAAACATTTCTGGAATATCTGTTTACATACACTCAATTAGAACAAAGAAGTAATCTGGCGCAGACTTTATATTCAAACACCATGGAATTTTTAGAAAGCAAAGTCGACTTCAATTCTTTGTGATTTGAAGTGGGGACAGACACACAGCAGCCAAGCAGCGCCGGGCAGTCCCCAGGGTGAAGCCACCAGGACCACGGCGGGCACATGCGCTGGCTCTCGCTGCAAGTCGCTGAAAGAGTAGAGGAAGGAGGTCCGTTACCATGAATGCACATTTTTATTCAAGACACAATAAAGGTAGAATTCTAACAAAGGAAAGTCGGCCAGTTACCCACCCCACAATGGGAAGTGGGCCCGGCGAGCTTTTACAGCACAGAAGCAAACTCGTACATGTCTGAATAAAGCAGTCTTCACCTCTGAGGGAGAGCCATTTCCTAGCTTTTGCTGATAAGGCTTGGTCATTCGTGTTCAGGAACGCTGACCATACACACTGCACACACCACACACACCTAGGCTGGTTGAGTTTCTCAAATACCCAGGGCTCTGTAACATGAGATGGCTGATTCTCCACGGATTCAACTCCAATTGTCTTCACTATGTGTACTTCCCATAATTTTTAACAATAATCAGATCCATGCTTATTAGGCTTATGCCGCCTTCAAATTATACTTTAACATTTGACGTTAATCGTGTTTAAAAAAAATGGTTTTAAAATCCTCCTTCAGTATAATGCACAACAATGATGATTAAGAGTAATGGGACTGCTCTAAAATGAAGTGCACACAAATTTCTTCTAAAACTCACTTGTTAGACTACAGATCTGATTCTGGTCTATAATTCTGATAAAGAATTTTTTTATTTTATTTATTTTTTTGTAATAAAACAGGAGTTGATGATTCAGTCCTTGGAAAAAATCTTAATTAGCAGTCACTCATTGAAGAAGCCAGTCATTCCAGGAGTCACACTCACTCACAAATCAGTTAGCATTGATTGTTTTTGGTGGGTTTTTTTTTGGTGGTTATCACTTTAGTTGGCAATATCACTTTAAGACAGAGAACAGCTCCCACTAAGCCTTATTTTAAATATTACAAACTGTCCGCAGAAGGTAGACTCACAGAGGCAGGTAATGCTGATGTCTTAAGTAGCTTCCCCACGGGTGGGGGGATGTGGGGCAGGCTGTTGAAGCCACCCAAAGACATTTTGGCTCTAGAAATCAACACCCCTTTTTTTCAGGAGTTCCCCTTCTTCCACAGGAGACTCAAGCAGCTTAACAGTCTTGCTATAAAAGCAAACAACTCTTGTTAACAAACCAGAAACATAAAAAGGGAACCGACAAAGAACGGTTTTCACAGTTAACCATAAATAAAAGTGCAGTGCGTGTTCAAGTAGGGCACGTAGTTTACACACTACATGTGGGTGTTTGGCATCGGTCATCTTTTCAAGGCTCTCCGAGGGTCCCTGCCATTACTCATTGTGGCCGTGCCTGTCTGATTACCAGCTGCTCCAGCTGGCTGCTGGCTCCCAGTCCCCCGGCCATTGCTTCTACCAGCAAAGGAAAACTGGCATCCCCGTGGTTCTGGGCTGGGCTGAACCCCATTTCCTAAAAAAGAATATAAAAATGCATCACCATTTTCAGATACTTATCTACAGAAGTGCACCTATTTGCAGTCTCACACATGGTATTAATGCTTACAAGTAACATTGGGAAAAACAAATGCCTTTAAACTCCTGGGGGAAAATTCCATTAAGTTCTAGGTTTATTCAAACACTAGAGGCCAGTGCATAAAATTCGTACATGGGGGAGAAGAGGGTCCCCTCAGCCCAACCTGCACCTTCTCCAATCCGACTGCTGGTTTAGTCCGGATCATTGGGGCTAAACTGGCAGTCAGACATCCCTCTCACAATCTAGGACCACTGGCTCCTAACAGCTCACCCTCCTGCCTGCCTGATTGCATGTAACCCATCTGCCTGTCTGATCACCCCTAACTGCTTTCCCCTGCCGACCTGATTGCCCCTAACCATTCACGACTACCAGCCTGATCGCTCCTAACTGCCTCTGCTTCGGCCCTACCACCTGGGCTTTGTTCAGGACATCCAGGAGGATGTCCAGTCTATCCAGTCTAACTAGCATGTTACCCTTTTATTAGTATAGATGTGACTATTGGAAATATACTGTCTTGATGCTGTACTAACCGGGAGAGGAAAAAAAGAGCAACTTGGGCAACAAAATGAGAAACGAGTTGAGTAGGTAGAGCATAGATAACACACTGCCTACACCACAAGGGAAGACAGAGAAAAAGGCAAGTGGCATGTGAGTCCTGGCACTGGGCTCAAATATGGCAAAATAATGATCCAAGAGAAAGTAATTCTAGCTTTTTAAAGAAGTTTCCACAGTGCAGTGATCAGCTACCAGTTCAAAAGAGTAACAGCCACTCGAAATAAACTCTGGTCACAAAAGACTTCTCCTCAGTTACCTAAGGAGCAAACTTCCAAAAACCATGAGCATGACATTTAAGGGTATTTGAGGGGTAAAGGCTAATCTTTTAAAGGGGCAGCGATCGGCATTTGAAAAATGGAGTTATTAGTCTGAAGATAAAAGGCTTTCAGTGCATAAAAATAACCAATATCTCTGCACCTGTCAGTCACTAGGCTACAGAAATGACACGTCTCCGAAACGCAGACTTCTGTATTACCGTATTAGCCAATGTTCACCACTGTTCCCAGGAACTGGGCCAAATGTTTCGATACAGAATGAGCTCAATAAATTTGTTTAAAGGGTATCTGCTTTCTAGAAAATCAGCTATTTGGGAATTCCCTGGTTACCAGTAGTTCCCTTTTAGAACTAATTTATGCCCAATGACAAATTTTCCTCTAACGCTTTCATAAAATATATATTCTAGAATTCTTACACCTGATTATAATTATGAAAAAAAAAAAAAAAAATCTTACCCATTGATCCAAATGTACCTGTACCCATATTACCATTCATGGAATTATTCTTCTGTTCACTAGGTACCTAAAAAAAATATTTTAATTTAACCAAATGAAGACTAAAAATAAAAAATATACTTTTACATTATTATAACATGTTGTTTCCATTCCCTTTTTTAATTTCTCAGGTTTTCTTAAACAGATTTTTAATATATTTATCCAAGTCCATTCAATGTTAAAATACTCAAGTGTTTCCCAAACCTTTCATTTTATTGTACTTCCTGATATTACTCCCCACTCCCCAAACATGGTATTAATGCTTACAAGTGGTATTAATGCTTACAAGTAATACTGCGCCTAACCCCGCCTGCCTGATCGCCCCTGTGCTAAATGGCACAGGCACTTAAATATATGACACTACAGAAGCATATTCAGACTCACAAAGCCAACAGAATAAAAAGGACTTTCCATGACTTTTTGGACTGTCTTCATTATACTCTGGGTATGACAGGGTTGGCAATCTTGCCATGGAATTATGGCAGATGGTCAAAATCAGCCTTGTCATAAAAGTAACTTTAATTACCCCTTTGTTTGGTTGTCCTCGGTAGTCTGGATTGGGTTCACTGAAATTTGGCACTTCTGAATAAACCATACAAAACCTGAAAGAAAATAAAGCAAAAGTTAAATGACTTCTGAAATAATCAGCCTTTCTGTGTGACAGGAAGGAAGAATTTAGGTATCAAACAAACAAACTAAAAAGCAGCCTGCTAACTAACTCTTCTAACAGAAATGGTCCTCCATACGTCTGTTCCATAAAAGCATCAAATATGTGATTGCCTACAATGTGTGGAGCAATCTACTCTGCATTTTAGTTCTTCTGGGCCACAAAAACCAATCCTGGCAAAGAGCAAGGACATCTGTCCTGTCCCCCGACAGGCTGAGGCCACGGAACCACATGACTCGGGGTTCCAGAGCGGGTCCCCTCCAGCACTGGTGATGGGTTAGCACTGACCCATCCACACTCTCATCTGGAACCCTGTGGACCATGCACTGTGAACCTGCAAAGATAATCATTCAAGGTTAGGAGTGGATGCTGAGGCATCAGTACAGACACCAGAGTGACAGTCCATCCTGTAAGCTCACTGTGGGCTATATGAACATTATATACAAGCCCTTCAGCCCACAAATAAGAAATGAGAACTAGTTTTGGTAAATGCTAGGCTGACCCTAACAAAGCTAAGTCATTAAGAACCATGTGGCCTCCAGTGGTTCTTCACTCAACTGACCTCCATGACAGACACTTCTCTATACAGGAAAGTCAGGACAGGAACCTCATCTCAGTAATGTTGATGTGAAACCCTTTCATGGCTCCAATAATACTCTAAATGCAAACGTAAGCCATAAGTGGATCCTAATTTTCCTTCAAAGAGTGTTACCAGTTTCTGATCTTTAAAGGCTGGCAAGAGCCTGGCTGGTGTGGCTCAGTGGTTGAGCATCGACCCCTGAACCATGAGGTCATGGTTCAATTCCAGTACATGACACAGGCCTAGGATGGGGGCTCGACCCCCAATACTCGGCACGCAGCAGGCAGCCAGCCAATGCTTCCCACTCATCTTTGATGTGTCTATCTCTCTCCCTCTCTCCCTTTGTCTCTGAAATCAATAAAAATATATTAAAAAGAAAAAAGCTGGCAAGATTATTTTTCCACACAAAGCATCTTAACTCTGCAGTTAGAAAGAGAATTTTCCTTTATTTATATCTTTATTTGTTGGGTGCCACTGTTGCTTCTCTCCAACTATCCTCTGACTTAGTGGGCATGAAGTAGATGTTCAAGCATTAACCTAGCACGTGGTTGGCAAACTGTGGCTCGCGAGCCACATATGGCTCTTTGGCTCCTTGAGTGTGGCTCGTCCACAAAATACCACGGCCTGGGCAAGTCTATTTTGAAGAAGTGGCATTTTGAAGGAGTTTAAGTTTAAAAAATGTGGCTCTGAAAAGGAATTTCCGTCGTCATACTGTTGATAGTTGGCTCTGTTGACTAATGAGTTTGCCGACCCCTGACCTAGCAGAACAGACTCATGATTGGATGTAGTACTTACACCCAGCTTATGAGTACCTCCCACATGTGCAGGCGAGCATGGGGGCCGCATTACCTTTACACCCCGAGAGGATGGCTCCTGCAAGTCAGGGCGGAGATTTCCAAGCAGCAAGAAGTGCCTGGAAGCCCACGTGCCTGTGGGGCACCTAGCCTGTGGACAAATACAGCACTTCAGGGGGCGCTGCCACCAGGCCTTGTCCCATGAGGACATCTTCACCCACAAACAGAGAGAAAGAACATGTGAACTCGTGGCCAGAACTCACACCTCGTGTCTTATCTGGCAGTTCACTGGACACGGGAAGCTACTTCCCAGGGCACTCATGACAATGGAGATGCTCATTCCCAATCCCACACGTGGACAGCTGTTCCACGGACCCCTCCATGGGAAGCTATGCCTGCAGGTGGGCTTCTGGTGTCAGTCGGACACAAGCCAAGGAAGAGGTCTGCCGTTTATACCTACCAGTCATTTTAGGAGAAATTTGTAATTTTTTTTCAATCACACAAGATGTACTTACTCCCCGATTTTCTGAAGTTCTCCGCCTCTTCCAGTATAAAGCGTCAGACACCCTTTCCACATGGATGCATACCTAGGGAGAAAAGAAACATCAGTTCTGTAGAAATGTGTCATCAGGTAAGTCTTTATACCGTATTTTTTGTATTGGATGTGGATATGTCTACCAGAGCAAATCAAATGCAATTTTTAACTTGATACTGACTAAGGAAAAACACAAAGAAAATTCTACTGGCCGATTCTCATATAATCATCTAAACTATAACTCTGAACAACAGGACTTTTTGCAAAGGAAGCTCTGCTATACCCCAAGGATCACATCTTTGGTCAGTTAACAAAAGATCTTAAATTGCAGAGATTCAAGCAGAAATTACTTTTAACCACAGGATAAATGTAAAATCAACACCCTCGTGCTTTCCTTTATACTCATTTACTTGGTCTAGACAGAAATTGATATAATTGCTTTTCCATTACTTCCACAAAACACATAAGGTCCCCAAGCTATAAAACAAGTTAATAAAATTTAATCCAGGGTTAAAAAAAACTAAGATCACAAATCTTTCACACATCTACCTTCTCAAATTTGCAATTTTTAGTCCCAACTTGAGTGAACAATTATTTACTCTTAACAATTTTGAATGCAGACAAAATCATTAGATAAAAATAACCCTACACATATATCTAAGAAAAAAACTGTAAATTAATCATTATTATAAAAACCAGTCTAAAGTCTGGTTTCCAGTGGTTTTTTATGCAACCACTCTGGTAACTTTATGACTTAGAATAAGTTGTAATTAAATATTGCTTACATATAGTGATAGTTCATCTTTTAACATAGGTTATCAAAATTTGCTACTTCCACATTATACATTTATTTTCATGAATAGGAATGGGTCACTTATTAAAGATACCATTCACCCATCGTATGTTGGATAAGAAGTGACTCAGAAGACAGTGCACTCTTTCACCTTACTAAGTAAAAATTAATGCATATTTTGAGAAAAATGTGAAGTTGCTGCACATTTCACTGTTTCAGGAATGAGATGGACATTTGCAGGGTTTTCTGATAAGCATATCAATATTCAAATCACCTTCATTTAAGTGTATACCTTTCTTCAAAAGCCACTTTTCTTAGATCCAACCAGAATTTAAGGGCCTTGCAATTGCCGTGTTATGTTAGAAAGTAAGGTGTAATGATCCCCATCTTATAGAAGAGCACATTGATGAGGTATAACTTCCATGTCACACTGAAGTTAGGCAATAGTAATAATTTCTTTAGTTTGAATTTTGAATTACTCCTTGGTAACCATATTCCTTAAAATCCTGTAAGTACTAGACAGCTACTGAATTTGGATTTTCCCATTTTTTGGGTGCACACACCTATGCACTTCCTCTGACTATAAAAATATGAAATACTCGGAGGGAGATGCTGTTTACAGTGTATAAAATACTGTAAATCACTAGATGAGTTGCTTTGGCAGCCAAAACAACTTTAATTATGCCAGTCCTCACCACACCCTCCCAGGCAGGAATGCTCTTGTGTAGGTTAAGGATGTGGATGTGTAACAGACAGTGTCACCGTGAGTCAGTGTGTGAGAATCCAATGTCTAAACCCTGACTCCCACTTCCTTCTCCGAGGAGACTCAGCTTCACCTTCAGTTGATCCAACCCTTTCCTGAGGTTCTCCTTACTAGGCCAGCATCAATTCCCACCCACTCTTCCTACAGTTAGGACCAATACATCCCAATTCTATTGACTGGGCTTCCAAAGTCTTTTTTAAAGACCTTTTTCTGGCCTTTCACCTTCTTGTAAAAATTTAGCAAAATTCTAAAGTCAGTCTATCAAACAAAGAGGCCTCGCTAAAGGACTTTTAAAAGCCCATCTTCTGACTTTTCAGATGTCTTTCTGCCAAACGTTCTCTACATATCATTCTGGGTTTATTTAGTCATTATTTTTATTTTTTAACTTAAATTCAATATTGTTTTTTGTTGTTGTTAATTTCTTTATTGGCTAAGGTATCCCATATTTGTCCTGGGTTGTGTACCACACTGATCTTACAGTGCGGCCACCAGCAATCACGTTCAAGAATGTGCCTTCCAGATACTGTCGACTTCCCTCCTAAATAAAAAATGCTGGCAGGATTTCACCAGTCATTAAAAAAGGAAGGGGGAAAAAACCCACCTGACAACTATATTAAATAATTTATGAGGAAGAGGAAATATTGACTATGGGAGTCTTCTCCATCTATTTTAGACTCAGTGATCTCAGAGCAGAATGTAAAAATCGATCTAACCTGTGCCCTGAGGTCGGAGGGCAGGGGTCAGGGGAGCCTAGGCTCCTGGCTGAAACCGGGTGCGGTTCGAGTCCAGGCAAGGCCAGGCAAGGCCTGGCAAGGCCAGTAAGGCCAGGCAAAGCCAGGCAAGGCCAGGTAAGGCCAGGCAAAGCCAGGCAAGGCCAGGTAAGGCCAGGTAAGGCCAGGCAAGGCCAGGTTGCTGCATCCTCCCGCCCATCACCCTCCTCCAGGACCAGCGAGGAGGGCCGCCGCACCTACGTGGAGCTGGAGGGCTCGTCCAGGACCCGGTGTCGGCCCATGGGGAGCCCCCAGCCTGCACTCCGGGAGGCCCCCACCCCACCCCACCCCGCCCCGCACACCTACCCGCGGGTCAACCGGATGATGTCCCCGGGCTGGATGAGGCCGCCGATCTCGTCCCACACGGAGATGGTGATGCTGCCCGTCTTGTCGGCCACTTTGCAGGACCTCACCTCGTGGCCGTCTTTGGTTTTGGTCACGCGTCCTGAGGGCACAACCAGGGGGCGGGTTACAGGGGAACAGCTCCGGACCCGCGGCACCGGGGCTCGCCGCCGGGTCCAAGCCAGGGGGGCTCGCCGCCGGGCCCACGTGGGCGGGGGAGAGGAGGAGGGAAGGGGAGGGGGAAGGGAGCCCGCAGCCCGCGGCGGCCGTCCCTCCGGCCCCGCCACGCACGGGGCTGCGGGCCCACAGGGCTGCGGGCCGGGCGGCGGCCCTCACTTACCTATCTCCAGGACAATAAAGACGACATTTAAGTTTTTCAGTCCGGGCTTAATGTCTTTTATAAAAAGAGGCGGGTCGCTGAGCCCGTTCATATTGAGGCGGGTGCAGGGCGGCTGCGGAGGCGCGGGCGGGAGGGCGCGGGGTCGGTTCCCCCCCGGGGCAGGGGCAGGGGCGACCTGGGGCGGGGGCGGCACGAGGAGGGGCGGGAAGCAACTAGTCGGGGACCGGGGAGACCCGGCCGAGGGCAACGAGCCCTAAAGAAAAAAAGCAAAAAAAAAAAAAAAAAGCTCACGGATGTGAAAGGAAAAAAGACGCACCCCTCCGCACACCAACCCCGCTCCCGAAGGGGCGGCGGGCAGGCAAGCGTGCGCGCTGCCGGCTTCGGGGAGAGAAGGCAGAAAAAGGACAGCGAGGGGACGCCGCTGCCCCGAGCCGCGCTCACATACACGGGGGCGCGCGCCCGACGCGTCCCGGGCGCCGGGAGCGGACCGGCTGTCACCGCGAACCGGGGGCGCACGCTGCGCTGCTGCAGCCGGTCCCCACAGCGACTGCCAGTGCGCCCGCGCCGGCCAGAGACCCCAAGGCGCCCCGCCCGCCCCTTGTGACGTCACACCCTAGACCACGCCCTCCCGGCACGAGGGCCCCGCCCCCCCGCCTGCCAATTGGCTCTCAGCATCCCCGGCCTTCCGCCGCTTCCGCCGCCGGCGCCGCGGCCGCCTGGCACGTCCTGGTCTTCCTTCTGTCTGCGCCAAGCACTCCCTGTCAATCAGCCCTCAGGGCCTGCCTCCCCGTCAATCAGGCTTCAGGCCCTGCCTCCCCGTCAATCAGCCTTCAGGGCCTGCCTCCTTTTCAATCAATCCTCAGGGCCTGCCTCCCTGTCAATCAGGATCAGGGCCTGCCTCCCGGTCAATCAGCCCTCAGGCCCTGCCTCCCCGTCAATCAGCCTTCAGGGCCTGCCTCTCTGTCAATCAATCCTCAGGGCCTGCCTCCCTGTCAATCAGGGTCAGGGCCTGCCTCCCCGTCAATCAGTCCTCAGGGCCTGCCTCCTTGTCAATCAGGGTCAGGGCCTGCCTCCCCGTCAATCAGGCTTCAGGGCCTGCCTCCTGTCAATCTTCAGGCTCTTCTGGCCTTTTTCTCAGCTGAGCTCTAGCCTCCACTTATGCCTTCCATCCGCAGTCAAGGGGGCGAGTGCAGGATTTTTTATTTTATTTTTTTTGGGGGGGTGGGGAGGGAGGGAAAGCAGCACGCTGTCCTGTAAGGGCAGCTTCTAGCCAGCATGGCTGGTCGGGATGGAAGGAGAAAACTGGGAAGGGGTGGCCCTTAGCTGCCTGTCTGGAATCTTAGGACCAGAGGAACTTGGAGAGCCCTTGCACCCTCATTCTAACCGCCTCTAAATGGAGACCCCCAAAGCGGGGTGGGATCCCCAGCAGCTTGTGAGCCCGCAGGACCTCTGCAGGCCTCCTGGCCTGCCTCTGCACTAGTCAGGGACATAAATAATAACACATTATTATTTCCTCTTGCACTTCCCTCTCTAAAAGGCAGATAGAGAAGGTGTTCAGGTCCTTTGCAAACTTCTTCTTTTTCCCTTGCCCTTCCTCTCTCTGATTACACCCATTCGCTTTTCTTCTCTATGCTTTTCTCTCTCTCTCTCTCTCTCTCTCTCTCTCTCTCTCTCTCTCTCTCTCTCAAATAGGCTATTTTGGAGAGGAATTTTAGGGTCATAGCAAAATTCAGAGTCAAGGACAGAGACTTCCTACCTGCTCTCTCCCCGCACCCGTTCATAGCCTTCCCCGTTACCAGCATCCCCCACCAGACGGGTACGAGATCGAGCCTACATTAACACATTGTTATCACCCAAAGTCCATAGTTTACCTCAGGATTCATGCTTCGTGTTTAGAGCTTATGCGTTGGCACAAATGTGTAATGAATGACAGATCCAGCATTACAGCATACAGAGCCGTTTCACTGCCCTAAAAATGTGTGTGCCTCCTAGTCCTCCTGTCCTCTCCCCTAACCTCTGGCAACCGCTGATCTTTTATTGTCTTCACAGCGTTGACTTTTTCAGAGTGACTTCCTTCACTTAGTAATAGTCATGTGCATTTACATTTCCTTCATGCCATCCCATGACCTATCAGCTCAGGAACTTGTTGTAATGCTTCAAGATGGTGTGAAATAATAGTAAAAGCGTGATTTCAACATCAAACGAATAACAAAGCATGTCCGTTAATGAACCACATCCAACCTCAGGGCTCCCACAGACTCCCAATCTGAATCAGAAGCCCCAGTTCTACCATGACCGTCTGCAGGACTTGATGCTGTAGTTGGGTTTTCCTCGAAGTTATATTCTTCATCACCAGCAAAGCTTTTTTTTTTTTTTTTGCCTTTTGTTTTTTTTAAAGAAAGTTTTGACAAGATCTTTAAAAGATGAACAGTAGGCAGAGAACCAATTAAGAATGTTGAGCAGGCCCAGTGCTTGCGTATCTACCTATAAACCAGGATGTCAAGGTTCAAGTCCCTGTCAGGGCACATGCCCAGGTTGTGGGCTCGATCCATCGATCCCCAGTGTGGGACGTGCAGGAGGCAGTGATTTTCTCTGATCATTGATGTTTCTCTCTCTTCCTCTCCTTTCCTCTTTGAAATCAATTTAAAAAAATACTAAAAAAAAAAAAAAAAAAGAATGTTGAGCAAAGTTGTGGTCAAGTTTGGACAAAGAAAGTCTTTGTACCCTCAGCCATTTGAACCCAGAGAGGGGGACTGGGTGGGTTGCTGGCAACACTGTGATTGACATTCATGAAGAAGAGACAAATATCAGAAACCAGGCCCCATAAAAGCAGAAGCTGGTGCTCAGAAGAGTACCCCAGCCCTCCCTTCCCCCACAGGATAGAACTTGGGCCAAATATCTACTTCCTTCCCTACTGACTAGCAGTTCTCAGAAAGGAAATGGAAACCAAGTGCTGTCTCATTTACTGAAACTGAAGCCCTCCTGGAGAAACAAGGTGGTGTAGGCAGGCAGGGGCTCCTGGGCTGGGCCAGTCACTCCTCCAGGTGTGGCTAGTCGTAAAAAGAGAACGGGGTGTCCCGAATGAACTTCCCTAATCTCACCATTCAGAGAAGTAGAGAAATCCATCCATCGTCTCAGCGGGTGAGGTCAGAATGATGACTTGCTGATTCACTACATTCACAAGATAGTCTGCTTCCTTCTCAGTCTCGTTCTGCAGGCCTCCTCGTGTGCACAGCGCAAACAGAAGCTTATTCCAAGACGATGAGAGGCTTATGCTCAGAATCGCAACATCGCTGCTTCCTGTGAAGAACAGAATGCTGAGTGAGACCCACTCAATACAGGAGGGCACCCGTTAGGCTCCGGGCACCCAAGGTTCCTGTTATCTGAGTTCTCATGGACAAAGGTTTGCCTGCTCGTGTTTCCTGCTTGGCACCCACTCCCCAAGCTCACACCCAGGGTCTGACTTCTGGAATCACAGAGTTCATTTTCACTTTCTTTGCACTATCCACCAGTTTAAAACGATCACATCAGTAAGACAAGTACTGCTGGGTACCAGACATCTTGTAGGGTGAAACTAAGAATAAAAAATAAACAAGAACTACAGTGCTCTCACATTATAGAGATATGTAGTCCACTTTAAAAAAAAAAAAAAAAAAAAAGATATTTTATTGATTTCTTACAGAGAGCAAGGGAGAGGGATAGAGAGTTAGAAACATCGATGAGAGAGGAACATCAATCAGCTGCCACCTGCACACCTCCCACTGGGGATGTGCCCGCAACCAAGGTACATGCCCCAGACAAGAATCGAACCTGGAGCGGCCAGGCCCGGGGGAGCAGCCGGGTCGGGTGTGGCCAGGCCCGGAGCAGCGGCTGCCAGGCTGGGAGCGGCCAGGCCCGGGGGAGCAGCAGAGTTGGGTGCGACCAGGCCCGGAGCAGCAGCAGCCAAGTCCAGAGCAACTAGGTCAGGAGTGGCAGTGACCAGACCCGGAGCAGCTTGTTGTGGAACGAACCAGAGCAACAGAAGCCAGGCCCTGAGCAGCCAGGCGCGGAACAGCTCGCTCCTCGCCTGCCCCTGCCCCACGGCTGCCTCTCAGACATGGCTGGAAACTTTCGCAGGAACTTGAGGGTCTGCAGAATTAAGTGATGAAGGCTTAGATCTGGATGTGTTGAGTTAGTATAGGGCTGGGATGTTGATCTGTGAGTGCCTTGGGTGGGGCCTGGATGAGGCTAGTTGACCTATTGGGAAATGTCTTTTGTGTGAAGTGTATCATTGGGCATGTGGAGGTATTATTGATATGAGAAAATGCTAAGTAACTGATTTACTATCTGAAAAGGGATTTACTATTGGGGAAAGGGAGGGAAGAAGAGACTGAACATAAACTGTGCACCTATGGATGAGGACAATGGGGGATGGGGAGGGGGCAGAGGGTGGGGTGGGAACCTGGTGGAGGAGGGAAGAAATGAGGAACCTTTGTAATAATATAAACAATAAAGATTGATTTAAAAAAAATAAAAAAATAAAAGAGGAAAAAAAAAAGTCTTTTGGCATACTTAAAAAAAATTTTTTAACCAAAAGATTCATAAGTAATGTTTAGTAATATTTGCGACAAAAGCTGCACAAACCATCCCTATAATGATAAATACTATCTGATCTTCAGTGTCTAAGTTAGAAGAGAATTTTTTATACTATTCATTTGTTTCCCATGTACCTGTGCCTACTCTGGAATAGCATCTTCTTTATATCCACTTGGGAAATCTTTCACTGAGATACGTTTCTAGAAGTGAAATTACTGAGTGTGTGCTTAAGACTTCTGATAATTATAAAATTGCATTTCAGGCATTTCTAAGAGCTTTACACTATGTTTGTCCTTTGTATATTTATTAAGTTAATTTACTCAACCAATATTTATTGAACAACTACTATGTGCCAGCACTGGGACTGCCTCAGTAAAAAGAAGACAAACAAAAGCCCTGACTTCACAAGCTTCCATTCTAATGTGAGCAGACAGACAATATACAGATAAGTAAGATGATATGGTATGGCAGAGGGTGATGTGTTCTAAGGTGAGAAATAAAGGAAAGGAAGGGATA